GAAAGCAATAAAAAGTTGTATTCTATTTGTTCATCTAATAAGGCCAACATAAAAGTAAATAAATTATACTGTTGTTCAAACCATTATGTCTATCTAATAAAAATAAGACATACCAATGCTTCTATATAAATATTCTACTGCCAAATATTTCTATAATGAATGGGAATATAATGGATTGTAGGGAGATAATCTTCTTAGTATGATTTATGGTTGTTTTGTTCCCATGAAATAAATTATATTTGAGTTATAAGAAACGAGTTCTTAGACTACATAACAACAATAACAAAGTCGAGCATAAGTGATGCTTTGCCAAATTAAGCATTGCTCTACATGTTTATTTAAATCTTAAGAAATTTTGAAAGTGTGTAGAGAAAATTGCAATGAGATTTTATAGATTAAGATCTAGATGAACGAGACCCTAGCTATGAAAACCATGACCATGCCAATAAGATCTAAAGCCATTTACTAGTGTAATTTGAAAAAAAAAATTTGTGTATAAAATTGGACCATCTAGAACAACTATGGTATTCAAATAAATTTTATTAAACCTAAATATTTATGCTTATAAGTGGAGAAAATGACTGATTAAACTAACATCTTTAAGAAAAATATGATGCCTTGCATACTAAAATATTTAATTTTTCTTAAAGTATGAGTGAAATTTGACAAGATAGGTAGTACAAATCTACTAAATGCTTAAAATTTGAACGTAGTTTTAACAATAGTAAATTTATCATACAAGTATCGAAAACTATTTGGGCAAAAAAAATAAGGTCTTTTAAATGATAAACAAAACTGGATTATTTAAATGAGATCAATGAACTCAGTTGTAATAAAGAAAAAAAAATCCATTAACATTACACTAATAAAAAAAATATAGGATTAAACATTAAGAAGAAGAACTACTAACATGTCCAAGGCCAAAATGCCTAGCAATTGATGATGCAACTAATTTACGTTGTTGTCCTTATAATTAGTATATTCCTGAACCGGAAACAACTCGTGAAATAAGATGGTAGAATAAGCCAATGATTTATAGTTGTAAGAGAATTATAAAACTCTAAAATTAAGACATCAACTTGAAATATAAAGTGCACAAACCTTGGGATTCGCCAGTATAGAGGATCGCCGACAAGGATAGCGAGGTAATTCGCACCTTCTTGAATTGCCTCGTGACTTTCAAGTCATATAGTTATTACGAATATCTTTAGAAATTATAGGAAAGCATAAAGCAGATTTGGAAGCAATTGCATCATTTGCCAATTTACTTTCAAATGGAGCTCTATGCTCATGACATATTTTACCCTGTAGCCCATCAACAAGAGTTGCTTTCTTATCCATAGAATCCAAACATGCTCCGGCAATTTCTATTGGGGAGCCAAAACGTTCCTCACGAATCTGCAAACATAACAAGACAACAATCAAAATTTGATGAGAATTAATAACTGCAAAAGAAAATAAATAACCTATACAAAAAACAGATGAAATTATAATTTTAACCTACTTGGAAATCTCAATTTATTAACCTCAAACAAACATATTAATTATATAACTAAAAAAGAAACATATTTTTATCAAAATAAACAAGCCATTTAATTAAGGAAAAAATCATAAAAAAATTTCTTTATTATGAAGATACAACAGTCTAACAAACAAGTGTACTAAGAGATTGGTGATTAATGAACACACTTCATAGCAAATGAACAATAAAAAGAAACAAAAAAGTGCATTGTGCAACACATGCAATAACATGGCCTAGTTCTCATGAAATAGAATCCATGACGATGAAAAACTATAATTAGTAGTTTTCTCGAGTGAATAATAACAATCCTGATATCATTGGTAACAATGATGATAATTATAGTCACAATAACAACAAATATGAAATGCACAAGAAAAACAGTGGTGGAAGTAGTAGCTATGGTGGAGTGAAATAACTATGATGTTATATGCTTTTAAAACATGAAAAAGAGAAATAATCAAATCTAGCACTTGAACAAAGATGTATTGACAAAAAAGAGATATCTTAAGATAGTTGTGGCTTAGTCAGCCCGAGAGAAAAGAAACCAAGGGCTATAAAAAAGGTTTAGAAACCTTAATATAGTTCATACAGATGAAAAAATAAACTAGATAGCTTGAGTCAGAAGAAACATAAGAGAAAAAAAAATAGCCAATGACTAATGAACCTCAAATCAGCAACAAAGGGCAACAATAAGAGAAATGATAGAATCGATACCCACACTAAGTACCAATAATACAAAATCCTATTAGAACTTGAACTTAAGTTTTGCATTATATACTAATTTGTCAAATTGGATTCACTAAGAAGAGCAAAAGCTAGATTCAATATGATATTGCATAAATGCACTTCATCAGTAGTAAGGGTAAAAGAACATTGACCATTGAGGCACAAAATTGCATTATGCAATATATGATAGAAAAAATTACCTATATGAACTCTACCATAAATGAAAAACCAATGAACATGACAGAAATCTAAGTGACAATAATGTTGATGGCACGCTTTACTAAGATGTAAAATATAAAGATAATTGCAGCATATTGCAGTAGGTTCGTTCATGGTACAACAATATAAGATAAGGACCAGGATTTATATACTACTAAGGAATGCAAAGGATGAATGAAATAAGTAACAATGCCATATTCTACAATATGCTAGCAGTCATGCCAACATTATTCTATATCAATAATATCAATTGAATCTTTTTAGATTGATTTAATCCCTATAAGATGGTTATGATTGGCCAGGATTACATGTCGACTAAAAGTGTCATTGGAAGCATGTGACTCAATATATATGACGATGAACCAATGTCATTTAATAGAAGTGTTATTTTGACCCTCAATTATTGAACTAAGGTAAAAAGGTATTTTTGTAATGTGGTACCGCTCACCTACCACATCTCACCTACCGCTCACCTACCTCCTACCTACCACTCTCTTGCTTCTATAAATAGAGAGGGTGTGAGGCTTAGGAGAGCAAAGGGAAGAGATCTTAAGCTACCACAAAGGAGGAGAGAATAACTAGAGAGCTAGAGAGGAGGAGAGCATTTTGAGGTCTTGTATCAAGGTGTCGCTTGAGAGGGAGGCCATAGAAGGAAGATGAGGGCTCATCTCTATGTATAAGCTATGTATTCACCATTTCTTTTGCCTTAGTGAACTATTTGACTGATTCCCTCCCGTGGACGTAGATCCAGTTGGATCGAACCACGTAAGCGATCTGTGTTTGCTTGTGTTCTTTGCGTTTCATTTCTATGCCAGGAAGTAAATATCTCACAGCAAGAAGTGCTGCAACAGAGAATATATGAAAAATTATTAGCAAATGCATAATGTATGAACTATGGATAGAAATAAGAGAAATCGATCAAGAACATAGAACTGAAAAAACATGAGAGGAAGAATTTGACTAAAATAGATAAGTCATATGAAAGAAGAAAGACAGTGAGGACAAACAAGTAGATAAGAATGTTGATGAGCAGATTAATTCATCAATCATTCATAATGTCATGATGCGTTATACAGAAGGATATGGTAAACCCATGAATAGGGTAAAACCTCATAACAAAAATACTAGCATGCTTGTTAATAACATAAGATCTAACACTTGCTAAATAAGCTATAAAATAATAACACAATTGATAGAGAGAAGGCTAACAAGCATAAGAACAACCACACTCATGATTGTGATCAAAATGCTCAATATAAAATCATAGAGCCCTTTATACAAATGAAGGCTACAAAACATAAGAGCAACCACAACCAAGACTGATAAAAGTGATCACAAATATGTCTTGCTATATACAATAAACATAGTATAACATGACAACAAAAGTTGATAACCTTGTGCTATGTATCAAAAATACTTGTGGTACATCCCCATAGAGCACTTCATGTCACAATAATAATGATGTGTTATATGGACAAAAATAGTTATTAATAATCTTCGTGAAGCATCATGGATTGCATTTGTTATTACGTTCAATGCGAATATAACAAAGATCTTACATAAACAAGAAATGACAATACTTTTTTATGATCCTCAATATCTACTTATAGTGATTGAGACTTAAAAGTTATTAAAAAAAATCCTAAACAATATCAGTTTTATTGAACACTTAAACCCAAAAATGACAAAGAATATACAAACATGTTAAAAGAGCTAAGGAAATAAGAAGAAAAGTAGAGCATTTATTTCCTTACATTGACAGTTGCTTTCGTTTCCTTCTCATTTTTTGCTATTTGATGTGATGAGCATGGATTGATACTTAAATTCTCAAACTAGACCCTAATCAAATATAGAAATACTATTACATGAACAATAGATGAACAATATAGAAGGATAACAATAGTTAAAGAGAAAAAAAGGAGGTAATACTAAAAAAAGTAATAAACATCAAAATAAGCAATATCCCAACTATTTCCCATGGCATTATGAAGCACCCTAGTGCACTCTTGTTGATGGAAACACAAGGTTTTAAATTTATTTTGGGTGTTCTTACACAACATCTAGCCATCTTATTCTACCAATTTTAATTGACCACTTAACCCTATCACTTTACGAAACATAAAAATATTCACCCTTAGTGGCACGTTTTCCCGAATCATCAGTTAATTTTTCATCACTTTAACCTCAGTAGATATTATCATCTCTCTCTCACCCTCTCTCTGTTATATCAATTTATTGTATTTTTCCTTAAAGGCCTTACCAAAAATACATATCATAATAAGAATATATCATTGAATAAGATGACCATATTGTGAAAAGTATTTGAATAAGCAAAATAAACCAAAACATTAAAAAAATTTCAATGTTACAATCACAAAATTAACTCGTGTTTGAAAACAAAAGTAATTAAAGCAGACAAGACAAGACAATATAAATACCTAAAAGTATTTGCAAACTTTTTAAACATCAGTATTCATAAATGCTTCAAATGTTAATAGGCTAATGTTACAGGTTCGGAAAAACTTGCCTTAAAAATTCTTTTTGGCTGGCTGGTTCTTGAAATTAAACAATGGCATCAATTGTCGAAAGTATCTCTTTCTTAGATGCATCGCTTCCATCATAGCATACTGAAAGTGTTATATCAATGGTATTTTTGCTTTGCTCTCCTACTTCCGGAGAGGATTTCTGTAAATTATTCAATCAAAACAAGGAATTAAAACTAAATAATAACTCAAAAACCTGTTATAATAAAAATAGTTGTAAAAAACTGCCAAACTAACTGCAAAATTATAATGAAAAGTGCCTTCAATAAATTTTTTTCTTCCCATAAGCGAGTGGAAAATACAAATCACAAATAGTATTGGTATTAACCTTAAAGGCAATGGCAAAAACCTTACAAGTGGTATATCCAACTAAGCATAAGAATCTTCTATAATAAAATGTAACTTTCCAAAAATGATAAACCAATTACCAATGAGGTGAAAGGAAGTTAAAAAAGCACAGATAATCAAAGCATGCATAAACAAGCAATCATGGAAGAAAAAATAATAAGAAAACCATCATATTTAACACCTCTCAAAATGCCTACAAAAAACTATGCACATAGCTGCACCAAGGATATCAAGAACAGTATAAAATTCAAAAATATCAAAATGCAGTGAGAAAATCACAAAACAAAACTAAGTATCAAATGATAAAATTTAATTTGATAATTCCAAAAGAAAAAGTAATCAAGTCACTCTAACAACTTATCTTACGTTATACCACAATATTGTGTGAAATAAGGAGTTCATAGAGCATTTTTCATTATCTCAAGCCACTAAAATAGAAGTAGACCAAAAAACCTTATATTAGCCAGGTTGCAAAAAATTGGTCATCACGAAATCTCTTTCTTTAATATATTTCTGTTAAATAAGCATCAATCCTGTTATAAAAAAAATTAGCTCTCAAAAACTTACCATTACTAAACATGCATCATTTTTACACTTGTAGCATAAATACATCTAAAAGGTAAATAAATAGAAAACTTGTTTAAAAATATTGAAGTACAAAAACAAACCATTTTTTAAACCTTCTCGACCGTATAAATATTTTCTCCTGCATGGAAAATGATGGTTGTTAAAAAAAGAACAATAATATAAAATAGATAATAATAATATAGCAATCATGTCATAAAACTAGCATTATAATACAAATCAAATTAGTTGTTAAGCGTCACCAGGACAAAGGGCGATAACAACCATTCAATGATTTTTAGATGTGGCAATGCAAAAACAAAATACAAATGTAGAGATACATTATGACATTTCATAATCATTGAAGGATTTTATACCACCTTGGATTCTTATTGTTCTTAAGGATGAAGTACAAGTAGCTAGCCAAGACAGTTTAAGAATTGTAGATCACATAAACCAATCAATATTAACAACTTAAATTATTCTGAAAATGTCGTGATCCATAAAACTATAGAATAAATTTACAAGCAATAAAACTATAATTTAAGGATTGTGTATGCTGAAGCAAACTGTTGTGAAAAATGACGGCAATAAAGCGAAAAATGGAACGAGAAAAATTGTACGTAGAAAAAAAAAACACCTGAGCGACACACAGATTTACGTGGTTCGGCAAATTTTTCTACGTCCACGGAGCTGCAGAGGATTTTACTACTTCAAGGAATTACACCGTCGAACGTCTCGACGTTTACAAGAAAATCTTTATTTTATTCTCTCCATTTCTATCTCTCTCTCATCCTCTCTTTCTCTTAGCTCTCAAGCTGACTTGGCTTGGCCTTGATTGACTTGTTTGGCTTGTATTTCCTTTAAACCAAAAGAGGCTATTTATAGAAACCATGAGAACGATAGGTGGAAGGTAGGTGAGCGGTAGGTAGGATACTTAATTAAGAAGCTAATTAAATTCGGTAGATCGGATTGTTGACCTCATTTTTAATGAGGTCTAGTCTTTCTCTTAGGGTTTAGGATTTAGCATTGGGGACCTCCCTTTGACTATCTTAGAACCATCTAAGAACTTTAGAAATGGAACCCGCCTCATTTTAGAAATTCAACCTACTTATGTACCCTTTTGGAGTTTCGTGTATGTGGTATCAACTTCTAGCACTTAGAAGGGTGAAACCAACATGAGGAAACCCAAAAGGAATTCTTATAGGACCTTTTAAGTCTTAGGGTGGCCGTTTGCACAATTCGCACTCCCGCGCGCACAAACTTCGCAATTCGGAGAGTCGACGCGTCTGATCGCCACAATTCGCGTCGCTTGCACCGTTACCTGTCGAAAACTCGAATAAACTTTTGAGACGATCGATCGCAAGTTGAAATGTTACGAGATTTAAATTTTGACGTGTTTTTGACCCGATTGTCGACGATGTCGTCCGAGCGACCCCGGATGATAAAACAGACTGCACTGGCGCGTACGGAATGTCGATTTTGCCTAGGGAGGACACCCATTTTGCTAAGGCTCTGCGCGCGAATAAATTGCCTAGGATTTATATATATTATATACATATATATATATATATATTAAAAATAAAAAAAGAATCCTCTTTTTCCTTTTAAAGCCCTAAATTCCTAAACTCACGCACCCGAGCTCTGCCTCCCTTTCCCTCTCCCTCTCCCGTTCGCGTATCTGCCCCCTCTCTGCCCTTTCGCGGGCGCGAGCCGATCGAGCCCTTCTCCTCTACGCGAGGGAGATTTGACTTCTCACTCGTCCTTGCCCGACATTTCCTGCCCGCGACCCTCCTTCCCGAAGCCGCGCCAGCCTCCTCGAGCTGCGATTTTCCTTTTCTTGGTAGTTTGACTCTGAGGAAGCTGCCTCCCTGGTACACTCGAATAGCAACTTTCTCTTCCTCCCGATGCTTCTCTCGCTGCCACCCGGCTCGCCACTTGGTCCTGGATATTTCGGTTGCTTCGCCTTCTGTGAGCAGAGAAAGCGTCATTTTCTTCTTTGGCCCGATTCAAGTACCGAGTGTGGGTTGGGTGATCTTCTTCCTCTTCTCCTCTCTTCTCTGCCTATAAACATAGTTTCTTTTAAGGTTTTGTGGTTGTTGAAAAAAGTTTTCTAAGGAAGGGAGAAGTGGAGGTCTTTGCTGTGAGAAGAGTTTAGGAAGGAGATTTCTATGAGAGCATCTCCTTGAAGTTATTTCTTGCATTGCAGTGCTTTACATTTGCATGAAAAGAGGTATCTTTTCTCCCCCCCTCTTCTTCGGTGCTTTGCTTCCTTTTGGTTTTCTCTCTGCCGAGCCTTTGAGCATGGATCTGTTGGATGGTACAGCATGCTAGTTTACTTTACTTTCATGTATTTTGAGATATTCACCTTAAGAGCATGTGAAGGATAAAATATAAGCATATCCTAGAGGCTAGACTTGGTTAATTGCTTATATTCTAGGAGCTAGACTTGGTTACTTGCTTAAAATGGTGAAGCTATGACATGTTTCTATTTATCGTATCATATTTATGTTGGAAGCAATTAGGAGAGTTAAAACATGGCTTTGGAATACTTTTGCTCCTCTTGCAAGCATGTTAGGATATGTATTATGAAGCTTTTCATTTATTTTCATTTAGCATGAGATATTGGAGAGTTTATTTGGCCTTTCATGAATGCTAGAGAGTTCACTTTACTTTTTTATACATATATGAGGGGCTCGGTTTAGCTCCTACGGCTTTCCCTTACTCGAAATGCATGCCATGAGAAAATTTATTTAATTTGGAAAGCTCTGTAACTTGTTTTGAGGGCTTGGCTTAGCTCCTCGTGAGGCATCTCCCATGTTCAAATATCTGTTGGAATTGTTTCATGCTTGGAATATTTAGACATGCAGGTTGTTCCTTGGCTTTAGATGGCTCGGTTTCACCTTAGGGTGGCTGGAGTTTTAATTTCTATTAAAGTCTGGATTTATATCAATGCTTGGGTCATGTTTTAGCCTTGTTGGGCTCGGTTTTGAGTTGGGCTCGGTGTTGACTTGGTTTTATCTTGAAATGGCTAGAACTTTAATTTCTATTGAAGCTTGGATTTTAATCTATGCTGGGCTCGATTTTTCGCTTGTTGATAGACCATTTGGTTTGGCTTTGGCCCCTGCTGGGCTCGGTTTTGGCATCTTGTGTGTTTTTGGCTTAAATATACATATTGTGGAGGAATTTATTTTGATTTGGAGGAGTTCCATAGCTATTCTTGTTTAAAACATATGATAGTTCTATATTTTGATGTCTTGAGGGCATAGAAATGTTTTCTATCCTTTTGTTGTAACCTGAATTTGAACCTTAACTGTGGCTCGGTTTTGGCTCTAGTTGAGAGCTCGGTTTGCTTTGTTTGGCCCTTACCCGAGAGGTGATTTGGAGATGGTTTTGTTGGCTTTGGTTCCTACTCCTACCCGTGAGACCTATTGGAGTTTCTTGAGTTTAATCTACCCCCTCTTGTTGAGTTTGAATCATTTGAATGATTGTAGATGGATCAAACTTGTTACTTTGAGAGATTGGTGATGTTTTGTACTCTCTTATATATATCAAAACTTTTAGGGAATTGATTTGGGTTTACCTTAGCCGTGAGCCTCACTTGTTGTTCCTTTGGTTTGTCTTAGCCGTGAGCTTCTTTTGGTCTTGGGTTTGCCTTAGCTGTCAGCCTCACTTGTCATTCCTTGAGTTGCTTTTGCCATAGGCCTTAGCAGCTGTCCCTTGCTACCTTAAGCCGTGAGCCTTAATGATTACCTCCCTTGTGGGTTGCTTTGGCCGAGGGCCCTAGCTGTTGTTTCCTCTATTCTTGTTTCCTCTATGTTTCCTCTATTCTATTGACCCCGGTCGTGAGCATTTATTTGGTTTTGTGGGAAGATTTCATGCTTATTCGACGTATAAGGCTATCTATTAATTGAAAGTTGGAGGACTCTGATTTCTTGCATGAGTTTGAAAATATTAGTGGTGATTTCCCCGAGATCATTTCCTTTTTGAATTTTGGGAGATTGAGATGTTAAATCTTATCTTGGAAAAGTATTTGGTTGAGACGAATTAATTTCATAAAAGACGTATTTGGGGTTTGAGAAAATCAGCGCAAAGTGGTCATTTATGTTTGTTAGGAAAGACCTTGAGCCCTACTTTTCCAGGTCTTTTCAATAGGAGTTTTGAGGAGTTTTGAGGACTGATCTCTTCTCATTTTCGGTGTTTTAGATGGATCAGTGTCTCCTCTCTCTCACCCCATTTTTGTTCTTTTCTTTCCTTGCTTATTGGTTCGGTTTTTTATGCTTATGTCTGATGCATAAGTGTCCACGTATAGCCTTTTGCTATACGTGAAACCATCAAACAAGGTCGCAAGTAGTCGTTTTGGGGCGTATGGTGGTGATGATAAAGGCACGTCAAAGATAGAGCAGAAACATGTCATATCCTATAACATCAAGATCCAGGTATTTGATGAACAATAAGATAACGGTATCTTTCACCGACATAAATCTAGCGGGAATTGGCTCGAACTTCCTCAGGTTATTGGCAGCCCACGCCCGACTGTGTAATCGACTCGTGGACAACGAAATTTCTAAAAAAAAAAAAATTTTGATAAATCTTTTTCAAGCAAAAACATACTTTTCTACGAAACAAAAATTGATAATTCTTCTTTGCATGTTTAAAATTTGTGTGCATGTCAAAAACATAAATTTTAAAATAAAATTGATTGTCCACCTGACGAATATCTGTTTAGGCCGGGAAATAGCCTTCTAAGCGAGGTTCAAGACACACTTCTAGACGAGTGGCGGGTTCTATACATTCTAGTGACTGAGTAGCCTTCGCGGACCCTCGAGTATAAATATATATCGGAGCCTAGCCCCATACGAGTGCTTGCGGTCCCCCTCACCCGAACTTTTTTTGTTTTATCGAAGTTTTGGGACAGGGCACTCGTGTTACATTTTTCTTTCTTTCGGGATTTCTCCAAGATTTTTGTGGATTCTTTTTCTTTTCTTTTACTTGAGTCTTTTCTCGTTGATTTTTTTTAGTTTTCTGTCATGAGTCGTTGTTACACTCTTCTTCGGATTTCTTGGACGACGTTTCTTCCAGACTTCATTTTTTTGTGATGCATTTAGACTTGCTATACTTAAGAAACAACGGATCTCACGGGCGTACAGGTTTGCTTTACATTTTACAACACTTCATTTTTCTGTTTTTACCTGCTATTGTTCTTTCTATACAACATGTTATATTTTTTTCTGTTTCTACTTGCTATTGCTCCTGTACAGCATGTTATACTTGTCATGTTTCTACCTGCTACTGTTCTACATGCATCCTATTGTTCGTACTGTACTGCACATTTTATGTTATATAGCTTTAAGCATACATTTTTTTTATATAGGACATTTAGAGGACTATTACCATAGGGTCGTTTGATTAAACATTATCACTGCCGTTTGATTTGACATTACAACTGGACACCCTTGAAAACTTAAACTCGTCATGTCGGGAAGCTGGGAGCTAGCGCGGTGGGCAGCATGACCATCTTCAACAGCAGAACATGTCTTCCCCAGCTAAACATTTCCTTAGAATTAAACAAGTCATAGGATCTCGAGTTAGTCTGCTTAGCGCGACATAAATCCTCACTTTATCTGTTAGGCTTTTGCACAGCCAGACTGTGCAGTTTAAGCCCTAACTCGTTCTAGGTTCCGAGGTTGTCGTCCGATACGACAAAAATCTTCATATCTTCTAGGCGACTTGTGTGACCGCGTCACACAAGTATAAGCCATAATTAAATAAAATTGACAATATGAAATACCTGAATAATTTCTTCTCAAAACTGAAGTCAAATCATAGGATAGACTAGGAAGTCACCAGAGTTCGCCTCCGGATCTACGACCTCCCCCAGTTCTTTTTCATTTAGATTTCTCAACAATGTTCCAGATTCGAGTCTTTTCCATTTGACACTCTTTGGTCCGATTTCGTTGAAAAGTCCTATCCTTTTGACATCTTTGAAGATATATTCTCTGATTTTTATCAAGAGTTTTCTTAGGTGACTTCGGTCGTTTAAGATGTAATTAACTATAGGGGTTTGCCCTTATAGGGAGTTTTTTCGAACCCAACCTAAAATAAACCCTATTTAATTCTTTGTATTAAATAGGGGAACTTGTCGGCAAATAAAACAGTTTCGCAGACCAAACATATGTCATATATTTCTTAGTTTATTTGATCGAGCTCCATCCTCAAGTCTTGTGTTTATCCCTCGGGATAGATACAGGATTTGAGGTAAAGCGTTCTTTCATTTAAACGAGATTTCGATTTTGGCGATCGACAGCTTCTTGCGGGCAACTCCCCCAACCTTACCTCTTTTTTTCTCTTTTTAGCGCCGACACGGGTCTCCACATTACCCAACAATTCTCCCACTTGGAGATCGGGACATTGACTGCATCACCTATTGGTTGCATCATCTACTAGTTGTACCGACCTTTTCCTCAAGCATAATATCGAAGCCCCTGTCTTCATGCCAGAAGACCAGCTGAAGTTGAGCACAACTTCAGCTTCTCACAAGTAACACCCTCAGTTGTCATATCACCGTCAACGTAGTCTCCTACTACCAAGGTCTTTCCTGGGTTACTCTTATATCTGTTTACAGCTCTCACTGCATGAGCAATATCCCGCCCCTGCTGAAATCCATTTTCAACAAGTCCAACCGTGTACCTCTTAGTGTCATCAAGCGCAGTCTTCACCCGGTACACCCACTTGTTGTGCAATGTCTTCTTCCTGGGTGGAAGTTCTGCCAGCACCCAAGTCTGATTCCCTGACAGGAAATTTGTCTCCTCCTTCTTGGTTAGCTCCCACTTGCTCGAATTCTCATCTCACAAGATTTCTTCATAACTCTGTGGTTCTCCATCATTTGTCTGTACATGGTCCGATTTTCTCGCCTTTGGCGCTCTGCCACTTTTCAAGAAATGTACCTTCTTTTGCTTCTCCATAATGCATCTCTGACTCATGTGCCCACGCTTGAGTAAACTTGTAGTCATATATAGTGTGTCAGTTTTCTTACCCCGAGCTAGTACTAATGTTCCTTTGGTAACCTTTCAGATGCTATCTAAGAATACCACCGAATGACCACCCTCATTGAGTTGTCCAACAGAGATGAGGTTTTTTTTCAACTCAGGAACGTGTCTGACCTCTTGCAAAGTTCATTTGCTCTTGTTAGGGAGTGCAATATCAAAATCTCTCATCTTCACCACGTCCAGAGCTTTTCCACCAGCAAGATGCACCTTCTCAAAGTTACCTGCAACATAATTTCGCATTAACTCCCGACGGGAAGATGTATGGAAGGAAGCCCATAAATTCAGTATCCAGTCATCAACAGAACTGTAAACTGTCAGAAATAGTGCATCATGTATTTCTTCAGATACAACATTAGCGTCATCATTCTCCTTCTTCTTAGGATTCTTGCAGATCATTTTTATGTGGCCAGCCTTGCCACAATTCCAGCAGGTTGTCTGTTGACCTGAATTTCATTTTGATCTTCCACGGTTTGAGTTTCTGTCTTGTGATCTCCCACTGGAATCAACAATTAGCACCAAACTCGAACTCGAGGTCTCGCCAGAATCTTTCCTGCGCACCTCCTCAGCTAAAATCAAATCACGAATATCATCATATTTCAGTTTAGTTTTACCTGCAGAACTACTAATTACAATCCTCATAGCTTCTCAACTATTTGGCAATGAAGCCAACAATATCAGCGCACGTATCTCATCATCAAAATCAATTTCAACAGACGACAACTGATTTGTGATAGTGTTAAAATCATTCAGGTGTTGAGCAACAGACATACCTTTCACCATCTTCAAGTTGAATAATTTTTTTATCAAATGCACCTTGTTATTCGCCGATAGTTTTTCATACATACCTAATAAAGCCGCCATGAAATCTACAGTAGTCCTCTCTTTGATGACATTGTTGGCAACCGATCTCGACAAGGTTAATCGTATAATCCTCATAACTTGTCGATCCAACAGATTCCATTCAGCCTCGTCCATCTTTTTTGTTCGCTTTTCCAGTAATAGAAGATGAAGTTTCTTTCCATAGAGGTAGTCATCTATCTGCATCCTCCAGTAAGCAAAATCTGTGTCATTGAACTTCTCGATCCACGATGTCATCACTTCGTCTTCGCCCATCATTCTTCCTTAGATCTGAACCCAAGCTCTGATATCAGTTGTTGTGAAAAACGACGGCAATAAAACGAAAAATAGAACGAAAAAAATTGCACGCTGAAAAAAAAAACACCAGAGCGACGCATAGATTTACATGGTTCGGCAAATTTGCCTACGTCCACGGAGCTGCAGAGAATTTTACTACTTCGAGGAATTACACCGTCGAATGCCCCGACGTTTACAAGAAAATCTCTATTTTCTTCTCTCCCTTCTTCTCTCTCTCTCTCTTCCTCTCTTTCTCTTAGCTCTCAAGATGACTTGGCTTGACCTTGCTTGGCTTGTATTTCCTTTAAACCAAAAGAGACTATTTATAGAAACCATGAGAGCGGTAGGTGGAAGGTAGGTGAACGGTAGGTGGGATGTAGTAAGTGAGCGGTAAGCGGGATACTTAATTAAGAAACTAATTAAATTCGATGGACCGGATCTCCACATTACCCAACAGAAATAGTGCATCCAAAATTTTTAAGCGTAATATTGAATTGAAAAAGTTCAGAAAAAAAATCACGAAGTAAATAGGCAATATTATACCAGACTTTCATATTTACATACATAAACAACACTCTTCAACATCACATAAAAAATATCACTACTGCGTACTTTTAAAAGTGAAATATATATGCCTAAGTTTATGAAGCCAAAGTGTTAAATGTCTGATATATATCAAAATTGATAACAATTGTGTAAATTTCCCAATTAAAATAATAACCCCGTGAGGCCGTGATAATGTGATGAGGTTGGTGCATGGAACAATATTAAAATAATTTTATTAGCCCTAGTTCCAGAGTTCCTGCTACACGGTATTCTAAAATCGGTGATAAACTCACATTTCTCCACGACACTAGATGCATAACAAACATCAAGAACCCAAAAAGCGCCAAACAAACCCAAATACTAACCTCGTCGAACAAATAAAAAAAACCTAAACGTCAAGAAATTAAGAAGAAAACACAGAATCGGAAGCCAAACAAACTGACCTGGAGTAGCAGCAATGCCCTTGCGGAACACGGATGAGAAGAAGCGAGAGACACTCCTACCAAGAAACCGAGCTGCGGGATCAACGAACCTCGACAACCACCGGCTCACCCTCGCGTGATTGGTCCGCGGAGGCCGGCATGCTCCACTAGCCGCCTTCGGTGGGCCGTAAGGAGCGAACCGAGCCCCGTGCAGCGGCCGCTTACAGAATTTTCCTCCAGTTCCGCTTTCGCTCATGGTAATCGGTACATAAGTGAAATAAATCAAATGGAATGGAGGAGATCAAGAAAGAAGTGAATTTGGGAACATCGTACTGTGGGTACTTATAAAGCATTGTAGGAGTTGGAAGTGAAACCGAGGGAAAGCCACGAAACCCGATTACTCTGCCGCTCCCGCCACGATGGTTGCTCTTGCGAGTTGGAACCGTTATAACTTTTGATTTAGGATATATCAATTATTAATTAAATATATTTTATGATAATGATTATTTTTAGTGACATCTAATTAAATTTTAATAATTAATAAATCTGTAATCTCACATGTATTTTTTTTATTTTTTATTTTTTTTTGTTAAAGTGGCTAAATGAACCATTTAAGTTCATTCTTTTTTTTAATAAATTTGATTCTCATTGATTCTCGTTTTACATATGTAGTATATGTGATAGTTCATACTTTAAATAAAGATATTTTTTATATATATATATATATATATATATATATTTAACAATTAAACTTTCACATTAACATGCATAGCAGTCAAATCTTTACCCGCACATTAGAAATGTCATCATCATTAATGTCTTTTAATCTTAAGGCTATCAATGTTCCAGTGGACGACACAATTCATGAATTATTGACCGGTGATCTCTTGATGTATTGGGTCGACTACCTTCACAAACAGGTGGACTTAGGGCCTTAGTAGCTTGGAATGATGAGTATGTGGTACTCCGGCCCAGCTAACTCAACCTCTTGAGATTACTTTACACTTCATTTTGTTGAGCCATTTTGAGTAATTGTCGGCCGTCAAACATGGGGTTGGTAGTTTTGAAAATATAATTTAATTTAATAGATATATAATTTTGAAAAGTTGCATTTTAATTTTTTTAAAAATACGAGACCGAACCGATCTTATATATTTAATAGTTTAAATAAATGAGAACAACACCGCAAACGATGTATCTATTACAAGGAATGGACACATTGTTTGATGGTAAGACTTGATTAAATAAACTATAAAATTTATGACATCCGTGCCAGTCTGCGAAACCATTCATGTTGACCGACAAATTTTCCTGTTTAATATATAAGACTAAATAAGGTTTATATTAAATTGAGTTCCAATGTTTCCTATAGAGGCAAGCCCTTATAGTTGATTACATCTTAAGTGACCGAAGCCGCTTAAGAATACTCTCGATTCAAAATCGTGGTTTTGCTTTCAAGATTTTCTAAGTTTAAGTTTTTGAGATTGGGCATTGGAAATTCAAAAGAGAATAGATCAAAAGTGGAACGGTTATTTTCATGAATCCAAATAAATGAAAAGTAGGAGATGTCACTGATCCGAGAAAAGACTGCAGTGACTTCTCAAGCTATCCTAATGTTTGGTTTTATGTTTTGACAATGATTTATTTGATATTTCAATCTTGCCAATTTTATTATTTGGGGCTTACAATTGCATGACAATGTTATACAAATAGCCTGAAAGATATGAGGATTTACGTCATAACGAACGACGACTTCGGAGCTTAAAACTAGTTAGAGCTTAAATTACACGACATAACTGTGCAATGACCTAAAAGATGGGGTGAGGATTTATGTCGCGCTCGACAGACCACCTCGAAGTTATATAGCTTGTTATTTAAGCTAAGAAGAAATTTACTGATGACGATCTCGTTTTCCCTCTAGAATATGTTCTTTTGCATGCCAATGTCGTGTTGCCCACGTGGTCTGCTCCGAACTCCTCATTGAAGTGATAGTCCCAATGTCTAAGGTTCAAGAAGTTTTATTGTGTGTGTTTCAATTTTTTTGTTTTGTTTTGTTGTTGTTCAAGTGTTTTTTTGGGGGGGGGGGGGGGGGGGCGC